GGTTTGAGCTAATAGGAATCAGTTCTGTTCAGTGATTTTTACTTAGCTCAGTCTCTGAAGTCAGCAGCATGTTTTTGCAGACGGTGCCTGCTACTAGCAGTGATAACACCTGATGTTTACAGTTACTGCCTGGGACTGGGATGCAGAAAGGCTCTTGCTCATACTTATTCCTATAGTGACCAAGGCCACTGCTGGCTCTTGTGTGCCACGCTGGGGGTGCTGGGTAGTAAGGGGGTCACAAGGAAGTAAAAGGTTGCACCTCTGGAGGGTGACAGACAGGACAGGTGACCAACGAGAGTATTCCGTTCCATATACGTTACATTTAGTATTAAAGTGAGCGATCATGAGGGTTCAGTTCTCTCTTCTGCAATGGCCAGCATCTAGGGCGGACTCTGTCCGATCTTCTGCCTTTGATACCAATCCTGAGTTCCTGAATCCAGCTCCCTTTATCCAGCTCCCCACTGCTGCTGAGCCTGTGACTTCCCCAGTGCTGCTCTGCAGCATCAGTGGGGATTGCTATCAGGATGGGGGGAGGCAGGGTGGGTTTGATACAGGTTTTGAATATATGTATATAGTTCATTATTTTTATTATTTCCTTATTCAAGTCCTTCTGCCTCATACCCTTTTTCCTTCCACTTGGGGAGGGAGAGGGATTTAGAGAGCATCTGTCAGCATTTAGTGGCCATCCCCGCCCTAACCCGCAAGACTGGTGCCCAACATGGGGCACAAAACGGGCTCTGATATATTGCCCCAATAGTTTAAATTCCAGCTTGTGCAGTTAGGAGAGAACGAGATCTTTTCTCTGAGAGTTCTGAAGGACTGGGAAAAAAAACAAAACAAAAACCCAGACAATTTACATCATGTCTTCGTTGCCTGACAGGCTCATCCCATTAGGTGTTGGTGAGAACTTTGGCTATGGATATCATTATCTATTGTTTTTATCATTGTAATTGAATATATTTTCAATTCTCTTCCATGTGTTGCATCAGTTCAAATGTTGGCACTGGTCTTGGTGTTATGCTGTTTTCACAACACGCATTGTAGCTGCTGCCACTCAAATTTCCACAATGACTACTACTCCTACTCAAACTTGGACAATGAACACTGCAGAAACATCAACAGCCGCTGTATTCATTCCTCAGTCTGTACTGGCAAAAGTTGCTCCAGTGAGCAGAAAGAAAGCCAGAAAACAGTACCGTCCATATGGCCAACTTCACTCAATGATGGGTGAGGAAGATCTATGAGAGAGTCCTCCTCAAGCAACACCATCAGATGAATCAGAAACCAAGATGAAGGATGATGCCCCAGTGACTGGAAAAAAAACACCTAAGAAAAATATGCTGCTAACTTCAGCAAGTGCAGCCTGCCTCTAAGAAGAGACTGAGCTGAGAAGCAAAAATCACTGAACAGAACTGGTTCTGCTTAGCTCAAACCAGGACAATTATTTGCTTTGAAAACAATCTTTTGGTGGGGAAAAACCCTTAAATGGGTCTTAAAACTTTCTGAGAAAATATTCTGCCTTATTTTTAAACCTATATTGTATATGGGTTTAATATATTTTGGTACGTCTTTAATACCCAAATGATGATTGTATGTTTTGCCACAGCAGTCCTAGGTAGACTTGAAAAATACATCAGCTACCTGCAAGCTAAATATATTGTTTCTCTCTGCTGGGAATGAATGTGAAATTTATTCAGAGTTACATCCTAGGAAGAACTCCAACCTAGTTGCTTGTTCCCTAGCTCCATCCTCCCCAGCCACAAAAGATTTTTTTTAAAAAATTGTATTAACCTGCTCTCCCTGACAAAGGCACTAGATTCTGTTCAGCTATTTCTATTCTGGCAATACAACCATGCATAAAAATCTGTTCTCTACTGGAAGGGCAGTGCCATAATTATATTAAAAAATGCTTAAAATGCAGAGAAAATTATTTAAAATAATTCACTCCCCCAAAGCAGATTCCCAGCTCACCTGATAAGTAAATTTTTCAAATCTTGCTTATTGTCAGCAAGCCTGCTGGAACACAGCTCCTGAACCTACAGAAATATAACCTTACATAACTCCGACAGTCTTCAGTATTATTGTTGCACATAAAGTTGTTAGAATTTTATGGGATCTACACAGTCTGCCAGAAAAACACAGGACAACAGTCTAGATTCCTAGACTATGTGACACATTTATGCAAGGTGATGTCCAAGAAGGATTAGAAAGTATTAAAATGTATATGACATATTTTAGATAAAGATATATACGTTACTATCGGAAAGGAAATAGCTGTACAAATTCTTAGCAAGGCCAGCTAAAAGCTGCTTGGTAGGCTGCCAAGGCTGTAATATAACCACAAGCATGTGCTGAACACTTCTTAGAGCTCTTAGAATACAGAAGCTGGTTTCTTTAGCCAGCTGAAAAGGTCCCAGTCTCTTGAAATAACAGAACCATAACTGAGTTAGAAAGACTCTTCTACCTTTAGCAAACCAGTTGGAGAGATTTCAGCTGATACCTGAATGTTACACTGCTTTATCTATATTATCTATAACATTTTCTAAATCTGTTTTCTTATAAAGAATGAATTAGCTGTCACTCTGCCTCTTTGTGGATTTCTTCTTCAGGAGATGAGATCATGTAGTTGAGAAAACAGCAGCTTCATGCTTCTGGTGACCCAGACACAAAGTGAATCAATGTCTGTTCCAGTCTTGCAGACCAGTCAGATCCTGCATTAGGCAGAGTGTTTTCAGGATGGTGTTCACAGCCCTTGGCTAAAACACACAGGCAAAAAGTCTTAGTCACCTCCTAAGACCAGATGCTAAATGAGGAAGCCTAACAGTAACTACACCATATTTCTTCATGGCAGTGTAACTGGCTTTCTTATCTGGTGCTATCACAAGCCATTCTGAGCCTCTGCAGTATTCGGTGAAAGGATTTTGTTGTTTAAATTCAGGCTAACCAGATCGTCAAGTGTACCACTTTCCCTCAGTTTGCTAAATCATCCTCTTTAAAAAGAGAGTGCAGGCTTAGTCTTGCAAGTTTTGTAGTCCTTGTCTTCCCTACATCCTTCCTGCGCATCCGAAAGACAGGATGTTCTACATAGGTCATAGGGGGGAAAAAAAATCAGCTTGGCTTAGTGAACAATATCATTTACCAATATACTAAAACGAAGTGGGGGCACAAGAAAACCCGAATTACTGCAGTCGTGCAGCCTTTCTCTGGCTTTGGGCAAGCTACAGAGAATAGGTATACTGCAGTCGGACAGCAGGAGCAAATGCAGCGCAGCAGAAAAGCACGAGTCGTGATGAAATGCCAGAAGCCATCAAGTTCCTCCCACGGTCAATAAATCCCGAGTGCAGACACAACCCTGCTACAGCTCTGTGGTAGCGCTTCTCACAATGTCCAGGCTAAGCTGGATGCTCGTGTCTTGTTGGCAACAGCCATGTTAAGTCTGCAGTGAAGTCACTCTGTATGTACTTTTTAAATACAATCACTTGTTCTCTTCTCCTTCTGCTCTCAATGTGTAATAAAAAGGAGATCCATGGGATGCTTCAGTAAATGTTTCTCCAGTGCTTCCTCCATTTGTATTCCAATTTTTTTAATTGTAAAAGCTTTATGCTGTTATAATCAAAATTACTTCCTCTCCAGATTGAATTTTGAACTTTTGAAGATCTGAGTTATGTTAGTAAACTATCTTTGGAGGTTTATTCTCTTTTACTTAAGGCATGTGTGTATGACTGCAAATGCAATTTGCATCTGCTCTTCAGATTTCAAGGTGGGCCACTCTAATTGCTATAATCTCAGACCCTTGACAGCAGGAAGCAAGTATATTTATACACTGTATTTCGCATCCTACTGTTCTGGACTAAAGTCAGTCACAGATGAAAGGTAACCTCTAACTTGGCCCTAATAATAATGGTACATAAAGGTGCAGAAAGTAACTGTTGCAGCTTCAGTGGTACGCTTCAGATAAAATAATTGAAATTACATCACTCATTTGGTACAAGAGTCATTTTAACCAAATGCTGTAAACAGATCAGTGTCTCCCGCTTTGCGTCAGCATCTCTACAGTAGCAGGAGACAAGTATCCTGTGGCATTCTATTCTACTGCCGACACCTAGCCTGTAAGGCAGTCTTCAGAATGAAGTTGTCTTTAGTGATCCTATCACACAGAGATTAATTTTTTTTTCATGCCTTATTATATATCTTTTTTCTGTAAAGACCATATTCTGTGCCTGAATGTCATAGGAGTTCTCAGGAATGAACTGTGCCTAAAAAACAGATGAAATTCGGTAGGCAATTTGTGCAGGTGTGAGGAAAAGTAATTATTCACTCAAACGTCTTTCTCTGAGTCTGTGCATAAGGACACATCCAGCACTGGAGCATTCAGTCTTACCTGTTAAAGGCATTTGCTGTCCATGAATATGATGTCTCTGCCCTACAGTCTCATTTCAGCATCAAAATATCTAACATACCACATGCTTTCACATGGGCATCTACAAATGTAACATTTTGCTACCGCTTTGTCAGCCTACTGCATGATATAGTCCAGATGTCCTGGCTGGAAGAACATTGTTATTTACACATTACAAGCAAACCTTCCTGATCTTATTTTTGTTTTGTTTGAATCTTTTTCTATGTCTTTTTGCCAACAAATTTTGCTTTTCATTACCTATACCTCAAAGCTTTACTTTAATCCACTTGATCCAATTAACTGTTGCTTTCTGCAGTGAGTAGAATGGTAGATGTTTGCTTTCAAGTGAGTTAATTTAAAACAATTAGGGGTGTTTCTATGGAAGTCAATGAAAATTTGCTTCTGACATTAGGCAAGGTTAGTTCTATTTCAGCCACAATTATCGTATTACAGCAACCCTAAAAAGCTCCAGTTAGTTGAACTACTCTGAGTTACTGAGTTCATTAGTGCACATAAGTTATCCCATACAAAACACTGGCATTAACAACAAATAGATCTTCATTGTTTTCAGCACTGATTTTGTGATATTAAGAATTCTTACTGTGATTTTCCAAGTACATTTGCTGTTTGGAGGGTAGACTCCAGGAAATCCTTCACTTCCAATAAACCCTGACTCTCCAGATACAACTCCTCCACATGTAAATGTAGGCCTGAGAATAATAGGAAAAAACAGTGCTTAATTTTTAAATATATTGAACTTACTTTTTATATAGTAGTAAAGAGGCATGGGCTGTCTTCTACTTTAAAATATATCTTAAATACGTAAAAACATTGCTAACTTTAAACATGTTTCTTACTTACATAATTTCACTATTGACACAGAATGTGCAATTTAACATGCAAACTTAGGTGCAGGGGAAATTAACTGTGTGGACCTTAATTCTGGATTTACGCAGACTGTTACCTTCACTCCTTTTTTAGTTTGTAAAATCGAAGGTGTGGTGGTGTAATGCATCATTGCAAATGGCTTGTTATAATGAAAAAAGAGTTATTAAAAGTCATGAGCAATGACTTTTTATAGTATACACAGGAGTAGTTAAAATAGTACTGTAATAAAAATAACTTTTAACTCCTTTCCATTCTAACCTAAAATGCTTTGAATTTAGAGACTCTGATCAGGTAAATCACTCTGTAAGTTTTCTATACCACAAGAACAGAACCCACCACGCACACAAGTCCTGCTGCTCTACTCTGCTGACAAGTTGCACGTCCTCATTGCACCGGCGTGAGGCCGTTCCGAGCTCACGGGCCGGCTGTTGGCTGCGGCTGCCCCGGGCCGCGCACACACAGAGTGTTCCATGCAGCACAGCACAGCACTGCACAGCACTGTACTGCACAGCCCGGCACTGCACAGCCCAGCCCGGCACAGCACTGCACTTACTGCACAGCACAGCCCAGCACTGCCCAGCCCAGCACTGCCCAGCACAGCCCAGCCTAACCGAACGGCGGGGTATGGCACACACTGCGTTCTATGGGGCTCCTCTCGCAGTGACTTGCTTCCGTGGAAGAAGTCCCTGCCCGTGCCCTCCCTCGATGCGGTAACGGGCAGCGACACCCCGGCGGTGCAGCCCGCAGGCAG